CCAAAATAAAAAGTTATCTCGGGAAAACTTAATGGATCAAAAAATAAAAAGATTTATTAGTGTTCAAACAAATGTTGGAAACGGAAGTGCGGTTCATTGTATTTGTATCTGCACAGTCATTTCAATTGTCATCTGTGAATGTACCACCCAATGTGGCCATGTGGGATATGCTTTGTACATTGTACGCTAAGTTATTTCTGCCCATGAACAACAAATTAAAATAAAATCATTCGTTTATAAAAAAAAAAAATAATAATAATAATAATAATAATCATTCAATTCCTAGCTAGCTACCATATATGGATTTCATGCAGTAGGCATACCGCATACTTTTAACTTATTCTGTCCATTTTTATATTGTCACTACTTTTACTAACCACTAACCAGTTGGTACATGTTAAACCGTATTACTTTTTGTTTATGGTATGTATATGGACAAAATTAAAGCAGAAGTTAGCTTGTGCCTAGTACTCTAGTAGGCTAGTATTTTGCTGAAATGCGCTTAAAAAAAAAATAAAAATACTTAAGTAACCATAACTTCGTCGAAGTAATCCTAAATTCTAATTAAATTTAAGAATAAGGTTCAAATTAGCCACTGAACGTAACCAGAAAATGTAATTATGTTACTGAATAAAAAAAAATGTAATTAGGCAACTTAACACCCCAAATGTATGCAATTTCACCTGATAGCAGGTTACCATATATTTCATCAAGTTACCTGCTTACGTGGATGGTGAGTTAGCATTTTTAATAATAAACTTTAAAAATTAAAAAAAAATATTATTTAAAAAAAAAACAGAAAGAAAGAAAGAAAACGTCAGGTGGCCGCCGGTGGCCACCCCCTTCCCTCCCTCCAAGTGTCTCACGCCACCCCCATTCCCCCTTTCTTCGTTTCCACCGGCGACGAAGATTGGCTCTTCGTCTCCAACCAGAGACGAAGGAGGGCCGGCGGCCACCCCGGCGTTCTTTTTTTTTTTTTTTTTTAAAGTAATTAATTTTTATTTTTATTTTTAAAGTTTATTATTAAAAATTATTAAAAATGACAACTCAACATCCACATAAGCAAGCAACCTGATGAAATGGGTGGTAACCTGCTATTAGGTGAAATTGCATACATTTAGGGTGTTCAACGGCCACCAGGACTATGTGGTCTAATGGTACCCGGGTTGGACTTCCATTTGGAAGGTTGTGAGTTCGAGCCTCAGCGGAGGCGTTATTGGTTCTTTGTGTTTCAGTAGGTTCCTTAAGTTTATAGAGTCACTGCATAGGTAATTAAATTGCAAGTCGCGCAATCACCCCACCGGTCAAACCCTAGTCTTCCTCACAAGAGATTCAATCCACACCTTCCATTGCAAGTCGCGCAATCACCCCACCGGTCAAACCCTAGTCTTCCTCACAAGAGATTCAATCCACACCTTCCATCATCCTAGGCCCTAAACACACTCGCCTTCCATCATCCTGGGCCCTAAACACACCTTCCATCATCCTAGGCCCTAAACACACTCGCCTTCAATCCATCCACAACACACTCGCCTTCAATCCATCCACACCTTCCATCATCCTGGGCCCTAAACACACTCACTAATCCATCCACAACACACTCGCCTTCAATCCATCCACACCTTCCATCATCCTGGGCCCTAAACACACTCACTATTGCCTTCAATCCTGATTTCAAGTCAGGTGACAATCCACACCTTCCATCATCCTGGGCCCTAAACACACACACTATTGCCTTCAATCCATCCACACCTTCCATCATCCTGGGCCCTAAACACACTCACTATTGCCTTGACAATCCACACCTTCCATCATCCTGGGCCCTAAACACACACACTATTGCCTTCAATCCATCCACACCTTCCATCATCCTGGGCCCTAAACACACTCACTATTGCCTTCAATCCTGATTTCAAGTCAGGTGACAATCCACACCTTCCATCATCCTGGGCCCTAAACACACACACTATTGCCTTCAATCCATCCACACCTTCCATCATCCTGTGCCCTAAACACACTCGCCTTCAATCCATCCACACCTTCCATCATCCTGGGCCCTAAACACACTCACTATTGCCTTCAATCCTGATTTCAAGTCAGGTGACAAACCACTATACTAAGTTCTACGGGGATAAACTGCGCATTGTTCTTAAGAGTAATCATACATTACTATAGGCAGTGTTTAGTTCAAATTATATTACATAATTTTAGGAATATGGATATGGTAATATCATATTTCTAGCTTGTTTGGTTCTAAAGAATGTGAGATAACTATAGAAAATGTGAGATTTCAAAAACTTTTTTTTGTTACTTTTTGATAGCTTTCTTGAGCATCACATTCTCTCCACAATCTTAGCTTATGTGAGATTTTTGAAAATGTTATATTATCTCAAAATGTCTAGTTAACAAAACGTACCTAAAAATTCACTTTCTATGTTCATTATTTCATTGATTTTTTGTGTGTGTGTGTGTGTGTGGGGGGGGCGGGGGGGGGGGGGGGGTTTCGAAACAAAGGATGACTCTAAAGAAGATACAAACACACTACCCTAAACTTTGTCAAACTTGTGGCAGCAGCCCTAATTGATCTTCCATGAAGGAGATATGTGGCCTCTTTATTTGCTTAGCTTGTTGAATTGTATGGTTTCACAAATTTAATCAACGAAAATACAGAACTTTTCTATTTAAACATTTTAGATAAGGTAAAAATTTGTGTGAGACTGTCTCACAAGTCAGGACAAGATGAAAATGTAATACTTATACGCACAAATGTCATACTTATATGCTCAAATGTAATACTAATAAGGAATTAAAATTTTGTTACTTATAAGGAAAAATGTAATACTTTTACATTTCGATTTAAAAGTATTACATTTTTCCTCAAAAGTAAGTATTATATTTTCCTTTATAAGTAAGGGGCACTTGCCAACAAATATTACTTATTATGGAAAATGTAATACTTTTGATGAAAAATATAATACTTTTACATCAAAATGAAAAAGTATTACATTTTTCCATATAAATAATAAAAAATTTATTATTGATTAGTATTACATTTGAGCATATAAGTATGACATTTGTATGTTGATTTGACCCGACTCAACTCACGGATAAGGATCCGTGTGACGGTCTCAAACAAGACACTTTAGATTATTTGGCTTGAGTGAATGAGAGGGTAAGCATTATTTATTAGTTTAAAAAATACTATTGGTTGTTTGATATTTTAAATTAACTAACTTATATTTTGGTCGATTAGATGATTAGATCGACAAAAAATTATAGTCCTCAATTTCCCATATTTTTGTTTAATTGCAAATAATAAATTAAATAGATTGTTTTCACTCAAATTCATTTTCATCACTTAATTTTTTAATTCCATTACCCAGGTAGGAAGGTGTACGTCAAGAACTCAAGATTAAGCCCTTACCTACACAGCTTGCATGCTCTAATACCGTACCAATGGTTAGGTTAAAACATTTATTACTACGTCAAATATTATAATAAATAGCTAAGTCACAATTTTATTTCTTTATACTTATATAACAACTAACACTACGTTTTGATAACAAGATATTAGACTTGATCCATCAAATTAATCTCCGTCCAGCAGACTTGTGTTTTCTATCGCTGGGCTGCTGGGCAAACCTACCCAGGTTGTACCTCAATGGCATAAATTCATAAAATATACAAGAACAAGTTTTAAAAGTCAAAACAAATACATCGTACAAAATTACCAATAAAATGATACAAAGACTATCAAATTGAACTAAAGTAATGAATAATGATATAATATAATAACATTAACTTCAACGTCAAGAAGATTACATGTCTGGGAGTATCTCAGAATTTACTCTAAGGAAACTTCCCACTTTATTTATTTATTTATGTTTTTCACTAGTTAGTGTAGTTCAAGAATTCGGGTAACTCAATTTATTTTTAGGTGATAGATTATGGGTAATGACGCAAGATCGAACGCTAAATAGCTATAGTGTGGAAGTTTCACCCTTTTGTAGGGTTGACTCCTCTCACTAATTGGACACTGAGTCACTGTGATTTACTCACCTCCAATTCTATTGGACTAGGGCGTGCAGTTCAAGAGTCAACACTTGATTGAATTTATGTCATTAACTACATTTTAATATTTAATTTCTTAATTAGCATGGATTTAAACCTACACTACTTTTTTTTTTTAAATTAAAAAAAAAAAAACATTTTTTAGAGATAAAATAAAAAGTGGTTAGTGTTACTAGCTGCAAGAGTTACATATGATGAAATTACATCTTTAATTTCCTTGGGCAACCTCACCCAATTTGGTCAAACTGTTACAAGTTTAGATAGTATTGTGGACTTCCCTTGTCACTTTAAAAAAAATTTATATCTTTTTTTCTCTTAATTTTATGAAAAAAAGTTGGGGATGTATGGGACCCAAACTTTTATATATCATTTTACCAGTCATGTTTACTATTTATTGGTCAAATCATTTTTTTTTTTGTATATTTTCTTTAATATTTTAAAATTAACTTTTAATGTAGTTTTTAAATATATATAAAGTTTATACACAAGTAATAAACTTAATATTATAAAAATTGAATTAAAAATAACTTCACTCAAGCCTTGTTAACTGAACGGCTGAACCAAACACATAAAATGAGATGGAGACTTTTAAATTATATTGGTTCACATAATGTAAAATTACTTTAGTGAATGTTAGATTGCTAAATTATGAGAATGTTAGATTTTATTTGATTAAAATTAAGTATTCGTTATTAGTTATAACTCTTGGCATAATGATAAGTGCTTAATCTGACAATACTTATCAGAGTAGGTCACCATTTGCTGACTGCTAAGCAAGTACGGAGTATAACACACACCCACACACACCCATCTATCCAGATCGGAAGATTATGAACCAGCTAAGGACCGGTACCCAAATATGCAATTCTATATAAATTGTTGTGTGTATATATATATATATAATGCAGGAGAGAAATTGTTAAATGAGGAAATGATAGACATTTTGGTTTGTACGAGGTAGGTTTAGCAGTTGATGCTGATGATGAAATTAGCAATTCAAGAAGCTGATAATAGCTCATCTAATAGCTCAGGACCCAAATCCTCTAAAACCAAAACATTATCCAACTCGTCGAATCCTCGTTTGTTGTTCCCTCCGAACATGGACGTGCTACTCCTCCTCTTGTAACTCTCCTTCAACGTCTCGACGGGCGATGTCGCCGCCTTGTCGCCGCCGCACCGCATTCCTTTGAGCGAGTCGCGAACCGTGGCCAGCGGCAAGTTCAGGAAAGTCTCCGGGCCGCGCATGAGCAGCGCCGCTTGGTCGTAAGCCAACGCCGCCTCCTCGGCGCTGTCGAAAGTCCCCAGCCACACCCTCAACCCATTCCTCGTCGAATCCCTAATCTCGGCGGCGTATTTCCCCCACGGCCGCCGCCGAACTCCGACGAACTGCCTTTCTTTCTTGGAGGAGGAATCTGCAGCTTTGCAAGTCATTCTTGCATTTCATTTCGCAGAAGATTTCAGTTGCTTGCGCATAAGATTTAAAGAAGAGAGAATTCAACGCTGACGAATAATAAAATGATATATATACTTATATAGCATCCGTCACCCTGACACTATAAAATTTGGGCGATTATAGGATGTTGGAAAATTATTTGCAGTATTTAATCAATGATAGATCAGACAATGACGAATTATGTTATATGTGAAATAGACATATAGTATCCAATATAATATATAAGCGAACCATAAGGCAGGATTAGACGGGGCTTGAATTGGTAGAAGTTTTGAAAGTGATTATTGGGTTGTCAAAATTTAATTTAATTTCCAATTAAGTTAAACTTTGTTATTACACAATTTTTTAAATATTCAGTCAACTTCAGTTCATTTTTCTGTTGCTTAATTGCCATAATTGATTGGATTTGCTGACTTTTGCTATATCTCTCCTTCCAGGAAATTAAAGGTATACAGATCAAAATAAATCATAACAAACTAGTATTACAAAAATCATTCAAACTTTTATTTTTTTTAATTTTAAATTCAAAATTCGTTAAATTTAACTTTTGTCACTTAAAAATTATGCCAAATTTTGTCCCTTTTTCATTTTTTGTTCTAGATTTATAGGTGACAATTCACACTACTGGAAATTATGAAATTTTCGACTACCTGAAAGTGATCTTAAATCAAGTCAAAAGTCTTGTTCCGATCACTTCTGGTATCCGAAAAAACCTTTGTTGCTATTTCCAACCACTTTTTGCTTTCGACTTGATTTAAGATCACTTTCAGATGATCGGAAATTCAATATGTTTCAGCAGTGTCACTTTTAGTCATTCTTTTTCAGAACATCCTCATTTGGTCCTAGTATTATTTTGGTCATCCATCAACAAAATCGTTGAAATTTTGTAAAATATAAGGGCATTTAGGTCTTTAATTATGATTTTTTTTTCAAGAAAATAAAAATATAGCAGGTCAACCCACTTTGTATATAAAAGATCGAAATGTCCTTGTATTTAACGATATTTCAACGATTTTATTGACGAAAGACAAAAAATGGTCATGCTACAACAATACTAGGACTAAATGGAGATGTTCTGAAAAAAAAAAAAAAAAAAAAAAGACTAAAAGTGAAATGTCACAGATAAATCTATGACAAAAAATGAAATTAACTCTTAATTATTTTTTTCAGAAGAACTCTCAATTATTACAACATATGAACTTAATTAACCTATCTAGCTCACTAGATAAGCCTTAAAATACCAGGACTATGTGGTCTAATGGTACTCGGGTTGGACTTCCATTCGGAAGATTATGAGTTCGAGCCTCAGTTGAGGCGTAATTGGTTCTTTGTGTTTCAGTAGGTTGAGAAAGTATATGAACAGATACTACAATATAATAGAGCCGGTAACTTCAAAAAAAAAAAAAAGAGATAAGCCTTAAAATCTTTCATTGTAGTCTTTTATCACATCTTCATCATCTCAATTATTATGTTGTCGTTTAATTTATTTACATCTTCTCGCCGCCCTATTGGAACTTGGCCATTTAGGTACTAACTTTCTACACTAAATACAATCATATACTAATATATTATATGTTAAGTAAATGCACCAAGCTATACTTTCAAATAAAAATAATATTAAAAAACATATTGTTGGACGAAAATTTTGATGACCAAATTCAACATCTTATCATTGAAATATGACATTAGTTAGTTGTTAAGCAAGTATAAGAAAATTATTAAAGTTATATCTTTACTACTAGTTATAATTTTTTTTATGTAATACTAAGCAATTGATTTCTACAATTGGTATCAAAACAAGACATGAGTTCAAATCCCACTAAAGGAAATTTCTTCAATAGAGCTTGGCAAGTATATTGAAGCATGTGCAGCTCAGTTGATCACATGGGTAAAGTTTGAAAACAATGACTCGGGACCGAGCCTCACAGGCCGTAGTATATGTAAATGTGTAAAGCATCTGATAGAGAGGGATTTTATATTGGTTTGGCAAGTAGTATAATCACCCTAATACAAAAAGATGTTCAAAACAACTTTTTCAATTAACTTTTTGAGAAAGAAAATTATATCAAACAGTTACCAGCTAACAACTAATTTACCAAACACCTTTCGACAATCAGCTAATGTTATAAACTGGTTATACCCTCTAATTAACTCAATCAGCTAACAGCTAACATCTATCAACTATCAGCTAACAGCCAACAGCCATTTACAAAACAGGGCCAATATATAATTTTGAAAGACTTTAAAGAAGCATTCATCCTACCTTAAAAAAATGTGAATTTGTAATAGTATAAATATATTTCAATATATATATATATATATATATATATATATATATATATATAGGAAAGGGCTCATATGCGGGTATAGCTTCCCGTGCGGTTGTGCGGTTAAATCTGAGCAGTTGATCAAATTTAGATCAACGGTTCAAATCAATGAAAATTAAAAAAAAAAAAAAAAAAAAAAAAAAAAAAAAAAAAAAACGCGTGTTTGGAACAAAGTATAAGCTAAGCCGCACCTTAAGTGTTAGATCTTAAGCACAAACTCACGCACATTAAGTACAAAATCCACACACATTAAGCACAACATCACGCACATTAAGCACAAAACTCACGCACTTTAAATATTAACTCACAGACTTTAAGTTTCAACAACTACTGACATTAAGTACAAAACTCACGCACATTAAGTACAAAACCCACGCACATTAAGCACAATATCACGCACATTAAGCACAAAACTCACGCACTTTAAGTATTAACTCACAAACTTTAAGTTTTAACAACTACTCACGATAAACACAACCCCACACACATTAAGCACAAAACTCACGCACATTAAGCACAAAACACACGCACATTAAGCACAAAACTCACGCACATTAGTCACAGATCCGCTCACCTTAAATTTGACCTAGATGCAAAAATTACAAAATTGCCACCGCGTTTTTTTTAAAAAACTTTGATAATCCTGAACGTTGATTTAAGCGAGATGAAAGGCCCAAATTAAACCGCACAACCGCACCTGGATACCCTAACCGCACCAGAACATATATATATATATATATATATATATATATATATATATATATATATATATATATATATATGGAAGGGTTTAGGTGCAGGAGGGGGCTTCCCCTGCGGTTGGACGCACACTAAATATTAAACTGACGCACTTTAAGTACACAAACACACGCACATTATGCACACAAACAAAACATCTTCAAAACACAAACCCACGCACCTTTAAGCACAAAACACATGCATCTTTAAGTTTCAACAACTACAACTACTCACATTAAGCACAAATTCACGCACCTTAAGCACAAGACTCATGCAACTTAAGTACAAAACTCACGCACCTTAAGCACAAGACTCACACACCTTAAGTTTCAACAACTACTCACATTAAGTACACATCCACACACATTGAGTACAAAACTCACGCACCTTAAGCACAAGTCTCACGCATCTTAAGTACAAAACTCACACACATACTCACCGCACAACCGCACAGGAAACCTTCACCCACATTGGAACTTAATTATATATATATACACACACACACACATATGCAGATCAAATGCGCAGGAAGTCTTAAGGTAAAAAATAGGGTTAAGTTTCAACCATAGATGGGGTCTAAATCAACAGCCCATATTGAAGATAATTAAAAAAAAAAAAAAAAAAAAAAAAACGTGAGGTGGGATTCTTGTAATTTTGAGAAAATAAGTCAGCTTGTCTTTTGTATCTGAGTGCACATTTTTCCTTCTTCGAGTGCACATTTTTTCTTCTTCGAGTGCATCACTTTTATTTCAGTACTTAGTTTCTCCTTTGAGTGCACATCTTTGTGCCTTTGAGTGCAAATCTTTGGCCTTCAAGTGCACGTTTTGTAGCTTTCAAGTGCATGTTTTTCCTTTCTAAGAGTGCATAATTAATTTCCTTCGAATTTTCCTTTTTAGTGTTCTTTTTTGTTTTCTCTCGCCCTTGCCTTTTAGTGATCCTCTTTATGCTTTCAAGTGCTCAATTTAATGCCTACAAGTGTATGTGTGTCTTACTATTGTGTAAAAATAAAAATAAAATAAAATTAAAAAAAAAAACTTAGCATTCAAGTGAACCCTTTTGCCTTCAAGTGCATGTTTCTTTGCCTTCAAGTGCACAACTTCTGGGCAATAACATATAACTAAATTTCTAATAAAATTTGTGAGATTTACAAACGATTTGTATGGGTAATTGGTTTAATAACACTTAAGTTGAATAACCACCTTTTTTGGCACCATAAATTGCATCAATTGCACATCTATTTGCCTTCGAATGCAACTTTTTTGCCTTCAAGTGCATGGTTTTAAGCCTTCAAGTGCACAAACCGCATTTTCGTACGGGAAGTGACATGTGCACCTGATCCTAAACCTCTCTCTCTCTCTCTCTCTCTCTCTATATATATATATATATATATATATATATATATATATATATATATATATATATATATATATATATATGGAAGGGATCAGGTGCATTTGTTGCTTCCCGTGCGGATGTGCGGTGGATTAATGTGCGTGAGGTTTATACTTAATGTGCGTGAGATTTGTACTCAATGTGCCTGAGATTTGTACTTAATGTGCGTCATGTTAATATGCGTGAGTTTTGTACTTAATGTGTCTGAGTATTCTGTTTAATGTGCGTGAGATTTGTGCTTAATGTGCCTGAGTATTTCAGAATTACGATCTCAGAAAGAAGAAGAACAGAAACTCACGCACATTAACGCTCAAGCTTCTTGTTACTTCTTCCTTCAATTTGGCCATGGATTCTGGGTTATCAGCTACCTTCAATGCAGTTGAATGTTTATATAAATAACGCACGCATAGTAAAATTTGCACAGCAACAAAGTGTGGATTTCTGTTGTATTATTCTCATAATTCTTAACCTCCATAGCTCGCCTCCGCATCATCATCATCGGGGAGGGGGCAAATGGCTACTGGGGATGGGGAAGAAGCTGACATAATA